GGCTAACAAGACAAATAATCTTACACATTCTGAAAACAAGGTTATTATTCTTACACAATCAGTTCTTGTTTAGTAAATCTGTCTCAAAACAAGATCAAAAAGACTTTTTGGCTGATATAAAATTTTAAAACTTGGTTAGGTGGTCATTTTTTGCAGTGCACCAGCTGCGTTCAATCATGATCACCAACAAGAAGGTAATTGTTTTTAGCTTTATAATGTTGTGCAATTTTAAAACTAACAGTACAGCATGTTAAAGAATTTGGGTGAATGTATGTATGTATATATTTGAGCTTTTAGGCGTTGACACTATGAGCTTAAAAAATAAAATAAAACAAAACTGTGCACCTACTTCTTGTGTTTAAAAAAATCAATAGAATTATATTATGTATAACCATTCAGCCCTTCAAATGGTTATACAAAAAATGGCTCAAATACAGAATTAAAAGCCACAAATTAATACAAAAAGCAGGCCTATCATATGTTGCAAACCTCTAAAAGCAGCAATAAACAGATCGTTGCATTGATTGTCCCTTTGAGGAGAAAAAAAGGGTGCGATGTCAAGCAGACACCAGCAGTCTGTGCTGTTACACCACTCTTGTATTTGTGCTGCTGACCGACTTAATAAAACCGGGGCACAGTCGATGATGGCAGCATACATTAAACCCAGGATCTGATGATGTAAAAGATCATGAGTGATTTAACTGCAAACGACAACTGGGGCATGTGTCATTACTGTTGCCTTTCTTGACCCATTTGTTTTTTGGGTCATACCAGCGGCGTCTTACGTAACCCTAATCGAAAGTCGTTTTGATGAGTCTTCGCCCCGGCTCCGGTGATCTGTGAGGGATGTGATGGATTTCGCTGCTGCCCTGGCTTGCATATACAACGTGCACTGTGGCAAATGGTCGCACTCGACGTGCGAATACCAGTTCACACTTTATTTTCAGTTGATGACACATTCCTCCTTTGATTCTTTCTCCAGTTGCATCATGTTTCTGATATAATAATCTGACAAAGGTGGTAAAATCATCCTAAGGATAAGAATTGGTTACTTTCCAAAGCTTTTCCTCTGCCTGCTGTATTGTTTTGTTTGTTTGTTTTTTTTCTGTTGGATTTAAGTGCTGTCTGGTCTGTAGCCACCTTGTTAGTGAGTGTGTGCTTCACCTGTGCTGGGCCAGCAGAAGTAATTAAAGCCTCGGCAGCTTTGTGCTGGAGAGAGAAACTGGATCATGTGGAAAGCTCATGTTGGCGCAAGCACTTCCAGTTTAAAGCTCTCGCAGATAAAGCCACTAGAAGCTCTGTTTATCCAGCAGTGCAGTAGATTCCGCCCTGATTTTTTGTGCGTTAAAGTGGCACCCACAGTGAAAGCCGTTCCTCGCAGCTTTGAATCGCTGTGAAGACTCCCGTGGGAACCCTACAGAGCAGCCCTTTGAAGCCCTTTTTATGTTAATGGCTGAAGTGACTATTCAGAGAGAGTCAAAATGTTGTTCTAATTAGGGGGAAATTCAGATCCCCGTGTTGTGTCTGGACATCGTCTTCCAGGTTTCTGCTGGTGGCGGATAGGATTCGGAGGTGGGGGTGAGGAGCGCAGAATATTTAGGTCATTTAAGTGCGTTCACATACTGTTTTCGCACCACGAAACAAACTATTTGTGCACTGATTTGCACAGCGCTGGCCCAGATAACGTTTTGATGTCTAACCCTAACCGGGGCGGCTCGGTGGAACTAGACTCACTTTGGTTCGGCTTCACTCAGCATGTGTGAAACACTCTTCTTAGGCTTCTGTCAACTGAATTCAACATCAAGGCAAGTGGGTAAGCAGGGCAGCCGAGTGGACATCAGATGTCCATCTCCTCAGCCTGGGTAAAATGTAGCAGAGCACAGTGGGACCAACCTCTCACACTGACACCATGCCCTACAGTTTTAATCTCCACTCACACACACACACACACACACACACACACACACA